CCACCGGCACGCTCGATACAATTTGGCAGAAGATTAATAAGCAGATCGATCATCAAGTGACTGAAATCAGGTACGTACTGCAATTTTTAAATGTGTTATTATATTACTGCATTAATTATAATCTAACATTACGTAATGTATTATCAGGACGGCGCTTGAGGCCTCGAGATCTAAGAAGAATACACGGTATAAGGGAATCCTTTTCGCGAGCGTGATACTGAGGGTCTAGCATTACTGCCTGAGTTTATTGGACGCTGAGCTTACGAGGATGCATGGCTTGGACGTCGATGTTTACGCTAGCTGCTGCTGTGTATTGCAGTTCACTCATGGACTTCCTTGTGCCTGTCTGCTGCGTACCGCAGTTGATTCCAAAATTTCGATTGATCTCGGAATGATTCACCAGTTCTGGAGAACGCTACAGATGTTAGAGCCATGTAATTTAAGGTTAATGTTTTATTTATAATTTTCTACTTGTTGTTTTATTTTCAATTACAATTTATGTAATTAAAGTACATTATTTGGTTTAATTCATTGAATTTTTTATCGTATACTTGTAGGGACTGGTCATCAGAGCCAGGCGAGCCAGTGTGCATGGTCAGATGCAGAGTTCTTTCAGACGCTTGTGAGTGAGGTTGAAACTCGCGATCCCGCGACGATGCGGTACGTGAATCAGTTCATGTACAGTCATCTTTACTCAGACCAACAGGATTATGCAGAACCTGAGGTTAAGGACAACCCGCGAGGTCATCCCAAGAAAACTAATTTAACAAAGCGTAAACCATCTGCTTTTGAGTACAACGATAGATCGCGAGGTCGGAAATCGAGCCGTACGGCCAGTTCTTCGCATGGACAGACAAGCTCGTCTTCTCAACAGTCACAAGGGGAAACAGGTGATACATTTTTTTTTTTTAAATATGGTTGAACGTTAATTAAAGTATTTATATAATTATATAAATTGTGACGTGAATTATGATATTGCAGAGTTTAGACCGAAAAATATATTTGATTTTATAATGTGGCAAAATATCCTCTGCCATATGTTGGACTACATAGTGAGTTACCTGAATGTGGAGGCGGATGGTAACTGCAGATTTCGGGTCATCGCGAGTTATGTGTATGGTCACCAGAAGCACTGGGCAGTCGTAAGAGAGGACATTGTGAAGGGGGTCGACAGCCACCGTCGATTGTACGAGTACATCTATTTTAGAGATATCGACACCGGACTCCGTCGAGTAAGGTGGGAAACGGGCCCTTGTGGACGGGCTAACTGGTTCGAAGTTCCACAGGACCTCTACGCCGTTGCGACCCTATTTAATGCGGTTGTCGTTCTGTTGGGCTCTGGTCCGCAAGGTGGGCAACACAACTTCTTCAGCCTCACAGTGTTGCCTCTCATTGCACGATCATTGGCTAGAGGACCATGTCGTGAGATTGTCATGTGCCATCTTGGTACTGTAGAACACTACATTCGTTTAGATTTGACTCTTGATTGTCCATTACCGCCTATTCATTCCATGTGGTTCACTCACCGAGATGAATCGATTGTGGGTTGGGAGGATCAGTACAAGGCTAGGTTGCAATTGTGGTTTACTGTTCAAAATAGACCTTGTTGAATAAAAGAACGATATTATTAGGTTCAACAAAAGAACGATATTATTCACTTGTGGTATGACACTTCTCATTCAACTTAAGTTTTGCAAATAAAAAAGAAAATGAATCAGTTCAACTTAACTTTAGCAAAAAAAAAAAAAAATATTAATTTGAATGGTTTATGTACTAAAAATGACAAAACAAATACCATTAATGCGATTTCGATTGCTCTGTACACGAACTTATGTTCCTGCGCTCGAGACAGGCTCGTTCTCCTTAGTCGACCCATCGGGACTCTCAGGAGAACGAGCTTGTCTCGAAGTGCAGGAACATACGTTCGTGTTACAGGGAGGCGACGTGCCCTAGACCGATGATAATGCACTGGGCCTTTAACGATCCAGGGTGCATCATCATCGGTCCTAGCTCGTTTGCTAGTACCTGCATTACAATACAACATATCTGTATATATAGACTTGTTGGCAGATGCATTAAATAAAATATATTTAATAAAACATATTTCATAAGTTTCCCGTTCTTTTTTCAATTAATGTACAAACGTTACATTTTACATTAATAAAATATAAGTACAATTTTAAACTAATTTATTATGTAACATTACTACTAATTGATTATAACAATAATAAAAATAATTATAATAGTTTTCTAACTAATTAATTGTATGGTTCTTCTAAATTACAAAATAATTATACCGTAGTTGAGGAGCAGGCCGATAATACTTTTCTAACAGTACCGATAACTTGTTATGATTAAGTGAAAATAATTTATGTTAAACAACAATAAATACGTAAATTAATTACCTGATGAGGATGCAGATGGGCCAAAACGCCCCCCAGTCTGTCGTTAAGGAGCAGCCTGTGTAGGACGAACAACTTGTACCGGACGAACATGCTGTAGAATCGACTGTATCGGACGAACAGGTTGTACAGGAGGACGAGGGTGGCTAGGACCCGTAGGCTGTGCGTGGTCCTGATCATCTGAGGAGTCGCCCTAGTCACACTCCTCTGGACCCTGCTCCTCTTGCCGTACGACTCATCAGCATACCCCTGCTGACCATAACGTAATGGTGCGCGTGCGTGAGGAGGTATCGACTTCCCTGCGTAGCGGGGAAAAGCATATCCCGACTGATCGTACGATCCTGGTGCCGGGGGCATCGAACTGCCTGCCTGACCAGGATAATAATATCCATGCTTACCGTACGGTAGGAATCCGTGGAGTCGCAAACTATCTGGCGGGCCCTCAAAATGATATATCCCTGCGGACCATCTCGTACTGGTGCGGGAAGTCTCGAACTCTGGCTAGCCTGAAGAGTCTGTACCCTCCGAGCCTGATCGATCATCGCCTGCCTCTCCCTCTCTAGACGAACGGACGCATTGACACCCCGACTTCTAGTGTGTCGGGTGTTAGAACCATCGTAATAGTCATCGAACGCCTCGTCGTCGTCCCTGGCATTAAATTGTCCAGCTCTGCTAACACCCTGAATCAGAAATATAATTATTAAATTTTTCCATATGTAATAACTATTGTAATAACTATTAAAATAGATTATAATTGATTTTTATTTTAATTTATAAATTTTATTATTATAATTTTTAATTATTATTATAATTATTATTGTTGAGATTTATAATAATTATTATTACAAATTATTACTATTAATTATAATTAATTCTAATTTATAATTACTATTATAATTAATTTTATTATAATTATTATTACAAATTATAATTATTATTAGAATTTTTTATTAAAATTATTATAATTAATTCTAATTTATAACTATTATTATAATAAATTTTGATTATTATTACAAATTATTATTATTATTTCTTATAATTATTATTATTATTTCTTATAATTATTATTATAAGCATTAATAATTTATAATTATTAATATTATTCAACTTATTATTATTATAATATTTACTTAATTACAATTTATTCAACTTATTATTATTATAATATTTAGTTATTNGGCCCCCGATCTCGCCCGGTTTTTACCGCGTCCGGCCGCCGATCGCGAACGGCGTAAAAGCAGTGCGTCCGGAGGCGACGGCCGGACGCCGGCACAGTTTTATAAAAAAAAAATTAAAATTTATTTAATGCGTAAAAAAAAAAAAATTACCTGGCTAGAGAAGTATGCTTTGCCCATGCCGTAGGATTTTTTCGACATTTTTTCGGATTTTTTTCGGTTCTCGAATCGCTCGTTGAAAGTTCGAGAATTTAGAGAGATAGAAAGTTTAGAGAGATAGAGTCTGAAAAAGGGTTAAGGGCAAAAGAGTAAAATGGGGGGGGAGGCGGTGACTAGTAAAGGAGGGGCGGTGAATAGTAAATGAGTATTTTAAATCACTTCCCCTTTCCTCACCTTCTTCCATAAAAATCCCTCCCCTCCCTTTCCTCCCTTGAACCAAACATGGCCTAAATGAACATCGCATGATCTGCATGACCTCCGAATAATCTGAATAACCATCAAATGAATCTGATGACCACCAAATGAACACCAAATATCCTGAATGACCTCCGAATAACCTCCGAATGAGCACTAAAAGACACGACCTTCCACTGAGGTCGAAATTGATTTTTGAAGCTCCAATTGATTCCTGATAAGACTTTTCTCAAATCTTCCTTGGACTGAAATATGAACTGGAAGAAATTGGTGCTCAACTCCTTGACCTCCACATGTTGTTGAAGCCTCCAATTCTGATGCATTATTCTTTTCACTTTAATCCAACTTGCTCTGCGATCTCCTATCACTTTACCAAATAGACTCCTTTGGCATTCTTCTTCACATAGTCTAATATCGTCCTCTACCAAATCTATCACCGCATCTTCTGTCTCTGAAAGCGAACAATTCCTCAACCTACTTTCTAGATCCTCTTCTCCTCCCTTACCCTCTGAACAAAAACCCTAATTTTGCAGCTTCTACTTCTATCACACTAAACTGACCCCTGAACCAAACCCAAGATAAACCTTTACCCGAAAGCCAAAACTAGCTACATACCACACAAAGAAAGACAAAAATAACGAGAAAAAACCCGCTCTCACTAAGAGACTATTGAAAACTTCCACCAGGGTCCGGGAAGACGAGGAACTCTCACCAGAGAGAATTTAATAAGTTATCTCACCAGAGAGAATTTAATTAGTTATCCACCAAATGCCCTTATCAAGTTTCCATCTTTGATGTATACTGAAAAGTTGCTGTATCAAATACGTGGACCAGTTTGACATGAAATGTCCAAGAATTTTCTCTTCTTGAACATTTTTGCACATATCATAGTATATATGTTTCAAGGCAGACCGCATATGGTCATATTGTCCTTATATTGTTGCATGGATTCACAAGCTTGAAAAGAACGAGCACGCGTTTGAGAAACTGATCTATTATTGGATATATGGTTGAATTTTATCAGTAAAGATATAGCACTTGTTGGCATACAGAGCGCAACTTTCAAGCAGTTTGGAAATAGTAACATCTTTGTAATTAAACACAACGGCGGATTTCACAAGTAATGGTACGCGAATAGTAGTATGGATTTCACAAGTCTTTGGTACATACGAACGTTAAAAAATAACCAAACACAAATGTACAAGCTCTCTTACATTTCTTTCACATGCCAGAATAAATTTCAAATGCTCAATATATATCACCAAATGAAAAAGTAAAGACAAGCTTTAGCAACTGAGGAGGAAAAATTATTTCTGAAAGCTTCCATATTGGTATTGTGAGCTGCTTAGGCTTGAAAAGAAGTCATCGTTTGTTGTTGATGGGAAACCCGACTTACCGATTCCAGACCCAATACCCATACTATTATTTCCTGTGTAAAACGAAGGCAAAGGTCCCTTGTCTTTCTCGTCTAACCCATCACTCAATCCACCAACGATACCTACATCTGCTAGGTTAACCTTCTTTGCTGTACCACAAATTAAAATCACCATAAACAACTCAAATCTCCTAAAATATGAGTCTTCATTTCAAAATTCAAACTTCAAAGTAATCAGGGCCCCGTATATTATTACCGCCAAGATTATTTTTTGATGATCCAAGTATTCACTGTTTTATTTTCCAATCGAAAGTTGTAAACGTCACGAACGACATTTAATGCATGACGTTAAACTGAAATTAATTTTATTTTGAAGGACAAGAAAAGCATTCTAATGCATCCACTAATCCGATAACTTAATTTTCCAATCAGATCAAACAGAACTTATTTTGTCAGTGCAAACTCAGAAAAATAAACACTTACGTGCAGTTATATTAAGGTCAATCAGTCCACGGCTCAAAGAATCCGCCCATATTCCTGATTTTACTTGAAAACCGCTCTTAGGTGGGGCCTTGGTTTCAGTTGAAGAGCCCTTCATGTTTCCATCACTTACATTGGTAGACGAATTTGAATCCACTGTATTTGCTGATAAAGGATCCGTATGAGAAGTAAAGGCTCCAAATGCATCGGATCCATCAAAGCTGTTGAGTGGAACATTGGCAAATGGATCAACATTATTAGTCACCTCAGAGATCGAGGCTTTGTTGTCAAGGTCGGAAGGCGGATCGGGTGCCAAGAAAAAATCCATTGTTGTAGGAACAACAGAAGGGGTAGGATGAGCAGAAAACAAATCAACATTTATCTGCAGGAACAAGGTCAATTAGAATAGAAACAACAACTTGGCATTTACAGAGAGAGAGAGAGAGAGCATAAGATTCTCAAAAATCTCTTTTTGTCTTACAAACTTTAAGGTGTGACATTTAATATTTTACAAATGATAGGCTTCGTCATCTCAATTATTTATATATATATATATATATATATAGAGAGAGAGAGAGAGAGAGAGCATTATGGTGACAAAATGCAATTATGAAACTAATATCATGTTTTGTAACTTGCTAGCGGGGGCCTTACCTGAGGCTCGGGAGATTTGGCTATGGACGGGAGTGGTGTTGCCGACACAAAAGCAGCATCAGCGAATAAATCAACTTCCGATGGATCATTGTCTAAGGCAGTGGATTTATCTGTTGGAACACCAACTGGTTCACCCAAGAGGTCGCCAACAAAATCTTGCCCAAAAAGATCCACTGGCTGACTCCCAGAAACTGATTCTGCTCAACACCAAAGACAAAATGCAAATATTAGTATCAGACTATCAGGCCTGCAGCAAAGGCAGAGGTGTATAGTTTGTTAAGCTGACAGGTCTTACTGGCGCTTGAAGTCCCCCTTGGATCAAAATCATCAAATTCTTCATCATATTTTTCTGACGGTGCATCGTACTTATCTGGCTTGCTACTCTTACCAGTAGATGAAGAGCTTTGACCAGTGCTGCAAAGCATTCTGAAAATTTAGTGTGGATAGAGCAGACATACATTAAATAAATAAGCTTTGCTGAACCTTTAATTTAGTGTGGATACAGCAGACATAATATGAGATCCCAAGTTTAATACCTCACAGATCTAATGCCAAAATTAGCAGATTAGATAAAATAAATTTGGTTTCTTTATTTCTGTAAGAGTCGCAATTACACGTCCATCATATCAATCACGAGCATGAACCATACCAGTTTACCGAGAGCCCCATAGCTGTCAGATCAAATAACTAATAAACCTTAAATTCCCAAAAGAGAGCTAGCAAAACTCTTCTAACGTAATCTGTATATTCATTAACAAAGTGATAGGGCTGAAAGTGCATCCACAAGATAACGGTTTTCCTATCAGTTAGCACCCCCTTCCAATCTAGCCAGTTATCATTGAATTTATGCGAGCAAGTAGTAACATATGAATAGTTGCAATCAAATGAAAATGACTACACCACAGATTCATAAATGGTATCCTCCAAATCAGACACTAACAAACATGAAATTATAGCTGGCTGATAATATTGTAGGTCAGCAAAAACCATAACCTTGTTAAGCTGATAAAACTCACAAGAAGATAAATAGGAACTATGAGCTACACTCAAAAGAGAAGGATGTCAAAACAACGGACCTGCTCTGGTGAGAAGATTCTTTCTTTGACTTAGTAGACTTCTCATATTTATCATCACCATATTGATCAGCATCATTATAACTATCTCTAAATGTTTCACTGTCTGTCCTATTGCCAAAACCTCCATATCGATCATTACTTTTAAAGCCAGTACTAGAAAATGAGGCTGCACCTGACTTGTATGTTATTCCAGACGAAGAAAGTCCAACATATCTAGCAGGCAACAACATATAGCTCATAAATCAACCATTAGAGAAAAAATATCATGAAAAGAGTTAGAAACAATAAACAAGGTATATAGATGTCAAAGCATAAGCTTTTCCCCAGAGAGAAGAAGGAAGGGGACACAAGGAGGGAGGGAGGATTGGGGAACAAGCTTACTTTTCACGATTGGCGGCAGCTTTGTTTCGTACTTCTTGTATTTTGTCCTTGTTGTTTAGAAGAGCCACAATGGTCTCAGCTTTTTTCCTCACATTAATTCCCACATCCTTCCCACTTGGCTCAACATATTCAAAACTTACCAGAGACTAAATAAATTGAAAATGGAAGAAGGAAGGCTAGTAAGAACCAAAACCATGTGCCACTAGGTACTCTATAACAGAATCTGTCAAAATGTTTGTCTTGTTTTGTTTGGAAGTATATAAAGAATCTATCCAGGAAGGAGATTACATACTGATATCTGAAAAGTATGTTCTATAATGTCGTCAACAGCACGTTCTGATCCATGTGCCACCAGGTACTCTATAACAGTCAATGACTAGAACAGAACAAAATGTCAGTATTTTCTCCTTTTTGTCTCCTGAAGTCGCTATACAATGAGATTTAACAGGAAAATGAAGAAAATTTAAACATTTGCCCCATTCAACCACATGAAATATATGGTAGTTAGCAGCTCAAGAACTCAAGGTGCAAACCTTGTAGACAAAACGCCAGTTCTTGCCTGTCTCAGTCAATCTTGTCCATAGGACATTCATAATCATCTGGCATTCAGTGCTGCATACATCTTCACATATCAGAGATTGATAGGACAGCAAATAGATTCCTTATGCAAATTTAAAACGTATAAGAAGATAACGGAATTCGAATAAATCTTAAAAAAAAAAGTATAGGAAATACAATTTCTTTGTGGCCTGTGCAATCTCCGCCAATACAGTACCATGAGGGCCCCATGGTTCATCATCCGTAGCATCCAAAACCTATGTTAAAAGGATGAGACAAAAAAAATAAAATAAAATAAAAAATAAAAAATAAAAAAATTTATGCTACTTTTGTAAGTGCAGAGGACATTGACATTTGACAGTAATATCTTACAGGGCTTGGAACAATTTAGCTTAAGTAAAAAATTGATTTGTCAATTCAACTATAAGCTCCAACGACTAAATTGGAGAGTGATGACACGATAGTTCATGTTCACAAAACAAATTTTATGTAATCAACAAAACGATGCATGTGACAGACAAAAAATAAATAAATAAAAGATAAAGGAACATTCAACAACTTAAGCAATTTACAGGCAGCTTATTCAACCCTTTAAGTACCAAACAAACAAAATTGATGTCTTAATCTTATCAGTGTTTAGAAAAATTATTGCATTCACAAAGGAAGGCCATTTTACTCAAATCTGATCGTAGTATAATTGCATAATTCGCATCAACAAACACAGAAGTTTATTATGTTAACTCAGAGACTACCCTGTTTCAATCCGAATAGGTATAAGTAAGCAAAAAGCAAGTTGCTAAGAGTTACCATAACACTTTTTTACTGCAAATGCATAAAATAAAAGCAATCCATGAAGTAAAACCAGAAAATGCAATCAAATTTATTGAGTTCTACCTTTTGTTCGATCTCCGGCACCTTCAGCACCTTCAAGTTCACCTCCCTCTTTCTGCATTTAAATAATTAAGATTAAATTAAGTCAATAAAGAAGATGAGATGAAATAACTCATTGAATCAACAAACGGAGAAAGAAAATACATACATTTCACGGACGGTTTGATCGAACACCTTCATCAAGTCCATAGCTGGATCTGCAAATCAAAATGGAATTAAACAGTTCTAAAACCGCGAATTTAAGATAGATCTGTCTACAAAAATTAGAACAATCTGATTGTATTTAAAAATATCACAAAACACGGAGCTGAGTACAGAAATGAGGGCTGATCTGTGGCTTGGGGATGGTATTGTGCAATGTCGCGACTTGCGGCTAATTTTTAAGGTTTTTTTTATTATTATTATTATTTGTTTTTGTAGTTAACGGGTTAATTTTGAGAAGGGAGTCTGGATTTTGAGAGTGTGAAAATATATTTAAAATAAGATAATAAAACTTGATTGATATAAAAATAAGAGAGACTTGAAAGTGATGGGTGATAAAATTTATGTGATTGGATAAATAATGAGTTAAATTTGATGTAATATGTTGTAGAATCGACAAATGTCAATAAATTAAATAAATTGTGAACCATGTAGGAAAAAATATTAAGTTTACAACTGATATGGGATATTATATGCCCGAGGAATAAATCGGCTCATAAGGCCAGTCAGGCGATCTAAATTATGGAGATTGTAATGCCCCACCTTATCTTAAATGATTTATCGAATTTATTTAATAAAAATCAGAGTTAATTTTTCACAAATCTCGATTAAGTTTAAAATTCAATGGGCGTTACTTATTTATAATATATATTTCACCCATTATTAATTAAATAATAATACATATTTAAGCATTTATTTTACAATTAGGCATTTAAATAAAATAATAGTAGCAACAATAAAAATAATAATAATAATGACAATAATATTAAATAAGTTCCCAAATATTTCATAAACGAACAGGGCGCTACAGAGATGCTACGTTGGTCGAGCAATGGCAGACTGAAAGGAAGTGGTCGAATAACCAAAGCAGACCTGGTCGAAGATTGACCTACCAAAGGAGGACTCATTCAGTCGACCACCTGGCGAGTAAGAGAGCAATCGAGAGCGTATGACGGACGCGCGTAGAATTCATAAGGAATATTCAAGGGAATAATTACTCTGTGCTCAGAGAGGCACGTGGCGAGAGCACATTGATGCAGAGTGATAGTGGCGATAACCACCTCTGACACACACACTAGGTGTGTACGGACGGGCAGATCCGGGCAGCGCAAGGAGGACAGCTCACCAAATCCAGGCAGCTGCTAGGGCAGGTATCTCACTCCTATATATATATGAGTGAACCTTTCTTGTTAACTACGATTTATCCATTCTATACTTTGGAGAATTGAGTGAGATATATAGTGACTTAAGCATCATAGGATCTTCACCGGAAAACTCCCCCGGTGTGAGAGTTTTTTGCAGGAACGCGGCGTTCTACCGGCGAGGAGGAGGAAGACGAGCCGATTTCAAGCCGGTCGAAGTATTTTCCGTTACCATTTTGGCGCCGTCTGTGGGACTTTCGTTCGAAAAGTGGTGTACTGAGATTACTAAAGCTTGGTAACTATGGCGGACGGAATTCCTAAGAGAGATTTGCAAGCGTCATTCGACGAGGCGTGGACGACGACGAGGCCGTTTGGAGAAGGCCCTCCTTCGGGCTTCTCTAAACCCTTGCATACACCGGTGACTCCGATGCCTGTTCCACAAGGTGTAGGGCTCACGTCGGTGCATCCAGAAGTTGGTGTGGGCTCAAGCCGAGCTCAGGAGGCCTGTGTGAATCAGGGAACGGCAATCCCAACGCCATTGCAGCCAGATCTGGCCGTGGTGCAGCAGCGAGGAGCGGTGGTGCAGGGAGTAGCGCCGCCACGGGTGGAGGAGCAGCACCCTGTGCAGTAGGTGGTGATGACTAGGCAGAAGATGCAAAAGATGATGGCGAAACGCGGCGGCACAAGTGGTCCAGCAGGTCACGCAAAGCCTTTCTCGAGTGGCTTCTGAGCCAACAACAGTGGAAGAGGATGTGTCTAGCTATGGGGGAGATGGAGCTCCGTGAGATCGGGAGTTGGAAAGACTCGCGGAGCAGGTGAGACAGATGCAGGCCAAGATGGATGGTCGACCGGAGAGGCTTGCTCGAGGACACCCGTTCTTGAGGGAAATATTGGCTGCACCATTACCCGCGAATTTCAGAGACATGAGTTTGGTGTTCGATGGGACTTCTGACCCGTCGAGGAATGTAAGGGCGTTTGAGAACTTGGCTTTGTTACACGATTATTCTGATTCTATTAGTTGCAGGGCATTTTTGTCGACCTTGAGAGGAAGCGCGCTCAACTACTTTCAGCAGCTCCCTCACGGATCGATAGTGGATTTTGATGATTTTGCGGAGAAGCTGATGACCCAATATGCGAGCGCTGTGGCGCAGGAGAAGACATATTTGACTTTGATGGCTATGAGGTAGGGGGAGAAGGAGTCGCTGCGCAAGTATGTGGCTCGATATATTCAAACTTTTCTAGAGATCCCCACGGCTGCTAATGAGGTGAAAGCTGGAGGGTTGATAAGGAGTTTACGAGCAGGGCCCTGTCGAACATCCCTGTCCAAGACCCCTGCTCGTACATATGACGAGGTATTGAAGAGGTGCAAGAAGTATATTAATCTGGAGGAAACGGAGGTGGAGTTTGCTAAGTTGGAGGAATTGGCCCGACCAGAACCGAAGAAGGGGAGGGCAAGCTCGCCCAAAAGGGTATCACCAAGGAGGAGATCGCCTAAGAGAGAAAGGCATGGTAGGGTCGATCTAGGGTGTGAAGATAGGTGGAGGGATCGACCAGTCATAGCAGGAAAGCGATTTCACAATTTTACGCCGTTGAATGTGAAGATGGGAGAGGTGTTGGTGGCCATTGAAAAGAAGATATATGACAAGGATGTGACGTGGCCTAAGTCGAGGCATGAGGGACCGACACAGCCCAGGTCGAGGAGGTACTGCCGCTTTTATAAGGATTACGGGCACACAACGGAGAAGTGCAGGCACCTCAAAGACGAGATAGAGCGCCTCATTATAGCAGGTCATCTCAAGGAGTTTGTGTACGAGGACAAAGTGAAGGGAAAGGAGAAGGGAAGATGTCGAGAAGATTCGGTGGAGAGAAGTGATCGAGACGATGATGAGGAAGATGAGCCTCGAGGAGGGAGAGGTGATCGAGGAGGCAATTGAGGTAAAAGGAGACGAGGGAGCAGAGATCGAGGAGGTCAGGAGGACCAGGGTCTTGTGAAGAGGGGAACGATATACATGATTTCAAGAGGACCAACGGATGGAGACTCGAACAATGCGAGGAAGGGGCATGTTCGAGCGACAAAGAGGAAGAGAGAGGAGGTGGGGATTACTGCTCGAATGCCGGAGATAAGTTTTCGGGCAGAGGATGCTGAAGGAGTGGTGTTCCCCCACAATGACGCATTGGTCATTACGGCGGAGGTGGCAGGCTTTGATGTGAAGAGGGTGTTCATTGATACCGGGAGTTCGGTTGATGTAATATTTTATGATTGTTTTGTGCAGATAAACAAGGAGCTCAATCTCGAGCTGAAGCCGGTGACCGCAACCTTGTATGAATTCAGTGGAGGTGAGGTGATGCCAATGGGAGAGGTGAGTTTATCTGTCGCCTTGGGGAAAGGAGCGACAAGGAAGGTGAGAATGGTTAGGTTCGTGGTCGTAGGAGCAGAATCCTCGTACAACTTTATCATAGGGAGGACCTGTTTGAATGCATTTTAGGCGGTCGTGTCAACGTACCATATGACGATCAAATATCCAGTGGGCGAAAATGTTGGCGAGGTCGCAGTGGATCAGCTTACTTCGAGGAGTTGTTACCAAACCACGGTGAGCAACAATAAACAGCTCGCGAGGAAGCAGGTGAAGGCGGAAGAGGGAATGCTGAGTCGACCTGGGGGTTCGAGGTCGAAGGAGGAGAAGGAGAAGTCGGATAAAGGGAAGGAGAAGATGGAGATGCAGCCAGGAGGGGAGATCGAGGAGATCCAAATGGTAGAAGGTGTCGAGGAGAGGAAGTTTTGGATAGGGAAAGAGTTGGAAAAGCCCATAAGGTCGAAGTTGATTGGGTTGATAAGGGAGTTCGCGGATGTTTTTGCGTATACTGCTGAGGAGTTGACAGGGATAAAGGCAGAAGTAATTGATCATAGGTTGAATATCGATCTCTCGGTAAGGCCGGTGAAGCAGAAAAGGAGGCACCATGGAGCAGAGATGGACAAGGTGATCGAGCAGGAGGTGGAGAAGTTGTTGAAGGCAGGTCATGTTAAGGAGATTCAATTCCCCAGGTGCGACGTATCAAAGGCTGGTCGACAAAATTTTCAAGGAGCAACTGGGGAGAAATATGGAGGTTTATGTCGACGATATGTTGGTGAAAAGCAAGGAGGAGGCCAATCACGTGAATGATTTAAAAATAACATTCTTGACGTTGCGGAGATATGGTATGAAGTTGAATCCTGCTAAGTGTTCTTTTAGTGTAAAGTCGGGAAAATTTCTAGGATATATGGTGACGAAGAAGGGGATTGAGATGAATCCAAAAAAGGTGCGGGCAGTGATCGAGATGAAACCACCCACGAAGGTGAAGGAGGTGCAGATTTTGACAGGCCGGATTGCGGGTTTGTGTCGCTTCATATCGGAGGTGGCGGAGAAGAGTGGCCCCCTGTTTCAAACATTGAGGAAGAGCTCGAAATTCCAGTGGATGGAAGAGGCTCAGAAATCATTCGAGGAGTTGCAGAAGGTGTTAGCCAACCTACCTCTGTTGACCAAACCGGTCCATGAGGAAGACCTTGTGCTATATGTATCGATCGGTGAAACGGCAGTGAGTTCAGTGTTGTTGAGGGAAGAGGGAAACGGTGCAATTTCCGATCTATTATGGGAGAAGGGTGATGCAAGGAGCAGAGAGGAGATATTCGGAGATTGAGAAGTGTGTCTTAGCGGTGATGGTTACGGTGAGAAAGTTGCGGCCTTATTTTCTGGGACATAAGGTAAAGGTGAGGATGAACATGCCTCTGGGAGAAACTTTAGGTCGACCCTCTGTATCAGGTTGACTAGTAAAATGGGCGGTCGAGCTGAGCGAATATACGATAACATATGAGCCTAGGAGGGCAATCAAGGCGCAGGTGCTGACTGATTTCATACAGGAGGGTACAAAAGTGGAAGAAGAGGTAGAAAGAGTTTGGCAGATGTTCGTAGATGGCTCGGTATCGAGGGTTGGAGGCGGCTTGGGCATCGTGTTGATTTCACCCAAAGGAAATAGCCTAGAATTTGCAGTTAGAGTGGGGTACAAAGTGTCGAACAATGAGGCAGAGTATGAGGTAGTTATTAAGGGAATGCAGTTGGCCATAGCGGGAGGAGCTCGAAAGATTCGAGTATATTCTGATTCTCAATTGGTGGTTGGCCAGTTCCAGGAGGATTTCAAGGTGAAGGAGGAAAGAATGCAAAAGTATGTAGAGGAGATGAATAGGTTGCGAGAAGAGTTTAGCTCGTTCGAGCTCCAGCAAATACCTCGAGGAGAGAATGGTCGAGCGGATTTGTCGTCCAAAGTAGCACAAAGCCTGGTCGATTGCAAGAGCAAAAATGTAATTTTGCTGTACATGGAGAAAAGTGCGGTCTAATGAGAGGTTGCCGAGATAGAGAAGGTTGATGATTGGAGAGCCTCGATCTTGAAGAAGTTGAAGGAGGGTGGTGGAAAGGTAATGAGGAGAATTTTTGAACACGGAGGAGTGTTGTATAAACGGTCGTATGCTGGACCTCACTTGAGATGTGTTACACGGGAGGAAGGTCGATATGTGCTGCGGGAGATGCACGAAGGGTGTTGTAGTGATCATAGCAAGGCGGGCTCCTTGGTGGCAAAAATTTTGAGGGCAGGATATTTCTGGCCGACTATGAAGGATGACGCAAAGGTGATGGTGAGAAAATGCCTGCAATGCCAAAAACATGGTCCACTTAATCACCAACCGACTGAGACGATGACTGCGATGAGCGCTCCTATTCCATTCGCGCAGTGGGGCGTCGATTTGGTGGGGCCGATGCCGCAAGGAACGGGACAAAGAAAATTTCTGATCATGGCGGTGGACTATTTTACGAAGTGGGTGGAGGCTGAACCATTGGCCAAGTTCACAGAGGAGAAAGTCATACAATTTTTATATAACAATATTTGTTGCAGGTTTGATGTTCCAAAGGTGTTGGTGTCCGATAATGGAACACAATTCAATGGCAAGCGGATTCGAGCATGGTGTGATGACATGAAGATCGAGCAACATTTTGCATCAGTTGCTCACCCGCAAGCCAATGGACAATCGAGGTGACCAACAGAATCATATTAAATGGTTTGAAAACTAGATTGGAGAAGGCGTCGGGCGCATGGGTCGATGAGCTCACCTCAGTGCTTTGGGCATATCGAACAACGCCAAGTCGACTACGGGAGAAACACCATTCAGTTTGTTTATGGTATGGAGGCACTTCTTCCGGTTGAGATCGAGGTCCAATCCCAGAGATCGAGCACATATGATCTAGAGCAGAATGAGAACTTGATGATGGCGGCCCTCGATACAATTGAAGAACTCCGGGAACGTGCCTCGATCAGAGTCGAGGCATACAACCAGAGGATGCGGGCAACACATGATAGAAATGTCAAAGTTAGAAGATTTCAAGTGGGAGACCTAGTCTGGAAGAGGGTCGACGTGCTGAAGCATGTCGGGAAGTTGGAGCCAAACTGGGAAGGACCATACTTGGTCGAGAAAGTCCATGCAAGAGGAGCATACTCGCTCAAAGATGCTGAAGGAAAATCACTCCCCAGGTCATGGAACGTGGCTAACTTGAAGAAATATTATGTTTAAATTTTTTCCATTCCCTTTTTCGCTAGAAATTTTTTGCAAAAATGATGTAATCGAATTATCCGTTTCCAATTAATGAAATCGCAATTGTAATTTTCAATACCTTGTCTAATTGTTGCTTTATTCTATTTTGCATATGAAGTGTCTTATAATGACTGGCTGGTCGAAGAAAACAAATCCACCATGATTAAGGCCTTCGGGCTGGGTGGTCACTTGTTTCTGGAACATTCCTTCGGGGGTGGGAAAGTGGTTGAAGAAAAAACTCCACCATGCTTAAGGCCTTTGGGTTGGGTGGTCACTTGTTTCTGGAACATTCCTTAGGGGGTGGGCAAGTGGTCGAAGAAAAAAATCCACCATGATTAAGGCCCTCGGACTGGGTGGTCACTTGTTTCTGGAACATTCCTGTAGCGCTCCATTTGTTCCGAATTATTTGAAAATTATTATTGTTATTTATTCTATTATCCAAAATTATTTTATTCGAGCTCGATTATTTTACTTCGATTAAATGCTCGTAATTGTTAATTATATTAAATTTAATATCGAGCCGGAGGGTAATTTGTTAATTTTCTATACGGTATTATTGCTCGGCATCTTTCCGTTTAGGATTATTATTATTTAATTAGATGATGTCTAATTAATATAATAAGTTGTGTAATGTTATTATTTATCGTCAATCGGGAATTATTGGTATCGCGTATATTTTATTGTCGGCCCTTTTGTGATAGTTAATTTCAGCTCAATTAATTGATTAGCACCAAGACCCAATTTTTCCATTAGCCTATTGTGAGATTAAATGGCCCAAAGTTTTATCTTGGCCCAATTTCCTTTTCGCACGTGAGATTTTAGAGCAGATATTTTTTTTTTCCTTCCTCGTGACTACGACCAAGTCTCCCTCTTCAAATTATAGCTCCGATCTTCCAGCGAGATTCTCATGTCACGTTCGCCTCGGTTACATAAGAATAGGTCCAGAGAATTCATCCCCTCAGGATCACTCAATCGTCTCTCTCGCACAACAGCTCTGTCCCTCTCGTCAGTTTAAAAAAAAAATAGAGAGAGAGAATTCGAACCTGCAATTTCAGGCGAGCTCTCCGGCGGGACTTTCTCCTGTGCGTAGCCTTGCCATCGCCACCATTTCCCGCGACAATTCCCGGCAAAACTCAGTTCATCAGCGTCCCTGTCGTTTTTCGAGCATCCTGCCATCGATCCCAGCCACGAGCCCATCCTCGCTGCAGCAGGTTGTCCATTGACGAGTTTTTCAAGTTGCGAGGCCGTCTTCCGTTCATACGTCATCCTGTTCGTTCGTTCGCTTGTTTTTTTTTTTTTTAGGCATCGAAAACAGAAGAGAGGTAATTGGCGAACCTCCTTTTGTATTTTGTTCTTACTCATATCTAATTGTTGGCTAAATCGTGCTATGAATCGAAATCCTTGTTGAAGTCGGATGTCGTGCTCGTATATCATGTCGTTAGTTTATTTTGATTTTTGAACCGTTTCTTTTCGAATTATTTTCGGTTCGTTCATGTCATTCAATTGTGGTGTTTCGGGTTATTGTCGTGGATTTCGGAACTCTCGTTTACTGTATAAATCGAGCTCTTTAATTGCTGTGATTATTTCGTGTTAATTATGAGACTCGTTGTAATCTTTCGGGCCGTCTCGTTCGTATATGTGTTGTTCGAGTCTTGTTTGTCGTTTTGTCCTTTGACTCTTTAAAGCCCAATTTTTATAAGTATTCGAACATTGTAAATTGTGATTTTCGTGTTTTATCCGTTTCTCGATCCCGGTTGCCGTTGGATATGTCGTGGTCGAGTTGGTCGACTTTGGTTCAGCCCTGTTCAGAAGTTGCAGCCCCTGTTCTGTTTCTGATTCACGCAGCTCTGTCCCAGTTTTGTTCAGAATTTTTTGTTTTAGTCGCAGGCGTTTTTTTTTTTTACGTTTAGTAAAGATTCTTTTCATTTAATTCCCATCCAAGCAATTGGTGTAGTGGTATGCTGGGCTTACTTTCGCGTGTAAGGTCCCGTGTTCGAACCCTCCACCAGGCAGCTCTTTTCATTTTTTTCCCCCACCTCAGGCACGCGGGCCGCTTGGCCCGCTCCAGCCCGCGTGCGGCCCGCTTCCAGACCCAGCGCCCAGGCCCGCAAGCCCGTAGAAGCCTGCGACACGGTCCGCGTGATTTTCAGCCTTCCAGCCCATTTGTTTTGAGTGCTGGGCCCAATTCCATATATATATTTTGGCCCATTTTCGCGACAGAGTTTTCCAGCGCGGCCCAATTGGCCTTTTTGGTTTATTTTGAGTTCCGGAAGCCGTTTTTAATACCGATTTTAGCTTTAAAAATATTTTTGAAATGAGAAAAAATTTGGGAAAAATTATTTTAAGTCCCGAGACTCCATTTTTTTTCCCCGAGTCTGTTCTTTTAAAAATGTGAGAGTTCCAAGTCCACGAAAAATCCGATAAAATCCTTTAAGCCTTAATTTTGATTAAGTGTGGGTTTTATGTTAAATTCGAATAGTGAGATAGATTATTGATGTATTATATTACTTAATTGTAGGTGTTTGAGGAGTCAAGCCCTCGACCTACTTATCTGCTATTTCAGTGTGATATCCTACCTCAATTTTCAGGTGGGTTGTTATTCAAAAATTATCTATGCATATGTTTGATTTTAATCATGTTGCAAATTTGGTGTGATCTATGTATGAAAATGAATATGTAGCCTATCGATGTGAGCTGTTACGGCCGTCGGTACGGTTGTCCCCGTCGAGTTACAGTACGATGCCCTTGTGTGGCAATCTCTTTTAAGTCCTGATATGGCCGTGCCCTTGTGAGGTACGTAAGCCCATATGGAAGGCCGTGTCCGTTACAGTGGCACGTACTCCCGCCTTCGGGTAATGAATCCCCGTTTTGCGGCTAGCGATAGATGTGCACAGGAGTAAGGTTAAATGGTGTGATATTGATTAGGAGATGAGACGTGTTGTGATTATTGTTTATGTTCATGCTGCGACCATACCATTATTATGTTATTCATATGCATAGTGTGAGTACGATATTTAACTGTACTCACTCCCACCTGCTCTTCACGGATGTAGGTTAAGCAGTTGGCGGGTGACGAGGCAAGGCGAGTGGGTGGTCTTGCCTGTTATTTATGTTTATTAAATTTCTTTCGCATTTATGAACCCATTATGGTTTATTGGGTTATGTTTGAACTGGTTTGACTTTAGAAAAGTGTTGAACGGATTGAACTGTTGGATTGTGCTTTTATTTTATTGTTTTTGGATCTTGATAATGTGCAGGTTCATTCTGATTTATTTTGGATAAATTGCTCTTGGTAAAATAAGTAGCGCCCATTGGATTTTAAACTTAAACGAGATTTGCGAAAAATTTACTCTGATTTTTATTAAATAAATTCGATTAATCTTTTAAAATAAAGTGGGGCGTTACAGTTTGGTATCAGAGCCAGGTTGCGTTTCTGTAGACTGGTTAATGTGTGATTATGTATTTAAATTTTGTATTACGACCACTCGTCTTCGTCACGCCGCGCTGCTTAAGGTATGTGTTTATATAAGTATCAATGAAAATACTTATAATATGAAATGTAATTTTTGTATTCTTGCCTAAGTAGTAATGAGACTGCTGATGAGATGAATTGTCGAAATTGGGGCTTAGGATTTATCCACCTTTAAATAATTTGAACTCTAGTGCTTCATGGCGAACTCTAGACTTCCTTATTTATTTTAATGTGCTAAATTTTATTCGGCCTATTCAATGTAGAGCTATGAATACCCGCAACAACCGCAACAGGCAGCCATCGCGGTCTCCTTCCCCGCCACCTCACCACCAGGCCCCTCCGGCCATGGATTTTACCCTACTCCTGGTCCAGTTCCAGAACATGCACGCGCCTACTTTCTCGGGGTCTGAGGCCCCCACAACTGTGCTGGAATGGATCAAGGAGCTAGATAAGATATTCGTTGTGCTCCCTCTTCTGGACAGACAGTGTGTTGCTCTCGCCGCCTTCCAGATGAAGGCAGATGCGTCTAATTGGTGGATCGACCACTGGGCTCGGAGGCCAGAGGCCGAGCTCAATGCCCTCACCTGGGAGCAGATGAAGGCTATGGTTCGTGGCAAGTTTCTTCCTCAGAGTTTCTGGGATCGGATGGAGCACGAGTTTTACCATCTGCAGCAGGGCAGCACCAGCGTGGACGACTACATTCGCAATTTCACCCGAATGTGCCTCTTTGCTGGTGATTCTGTGAGCACCGGAGAAGAAAGCCTGTAAGTTTCTGAAAGGGCTGAATCCAAGGATCCGTGAGCTAGTTGGGAGTCACGGACTGATGTCTTATGCCGACACCGTCACTCGGGCTCAGAGAGTGGAGAGCCTTCTCATCCCGACAGATCCTGTTCCTTCTTTTTATCATGCTGCTCAGCCTGTCCAGGCTGTACCTTCTGCCATCCCGCCGTTATCTTATCAGCCGCCGCTTATTGCCCAGGCGCCTTATCAGTACCCGGTTCCCTATGCTACCGTTCCCCCACCCTCTGGCTCCAACAAGAGGAAGGGCGATAACCAGCACAAGAAGAAAGGAAAGCGAGGAGCCCCAGACCGACGCCATTCTGGCAACCGCACCTGCCCGAAGTGCGGCAAGTACCACACCGGCGAGTGTGTTGCAGATCAGCGAAATTGTTACAATTGTCATCGCCCCGGTCATTATGCCAGTGTCTGCCCCGATCCTAAGAGGCAGCCGCAGCAGCAGCTTCTCCCGCCGCCACCTCCTCATCATCAGCAGCAGCAGCAGCCCAGGCAGCCCCCACCTCACCAGTCGAGGACTGGAGGCCACGCCCGTGTCTACACCCTCGCCCACGACGAGGCCACCAACAACGCAGGTACCATGTCCGGAATGCTTTCAATATCCAACGTGCCTATCTTTGCATTATGTGATACTGGGGCGACCCATTCTTTTATTTCGTCTCGATGCCTTGAGGCCTTACCTATCTCCGATGTGTGAAAAGTTGATCCCCTCGAGGTTAGCTGTCGTACCCCGCCTTACTAGCTTTGAAAAATCAGAGTAAAATTTTTGTTTTTATTTTCGAAAGAACGTGCGAGCTGGGTTTTCGAAAATACTGACTTATTGCGGGATGTGGCAGATAAAAACTTAAACTTAAACTGAGCTTGCTCACAGACATAATAAAACATGCAACCAAACTGTCCGCTCGCGGATTATGGAATTATACATGCATAGTCTGTACTATCTCGCACTGTCTGGAAAAACTCGCTGGCGGAAGCATCCGAAATACGAATACATAAACGTGCATACATAACTGGATAATATACATGATCATAAAACTAGGACATAAAAATGCTGGTAAAATATGTCCGACTCTCATGACCACGCTGCGCCACATTTGTGCTCATCCGGCACGCTCGACTCCGTCTCCTGAAAAACACAATGGGGGCGTGAGCAATCCACTATGCTCCGCAAAGACCAGTACTGAACAAAACATCATCTATAATAACGTATCATGAAACATAAATATATAAGAGCTGAAACTGTAAACTGATCTCTGATGTCTGGTCTGATCTGTGGTCAAAAGACCCTCGGCCTTAGCCGCTCGTGTGCACACGCCGATGGGGTATAAGGGCCTCGCCCCTCCCAACGGTCATCAGGTGGGTATAAAAGCCTCGGCCACCCAACCCGGAACTAAACTGTCTCAAACATACCTCTGCCATGGTACAGATATTATCTATGATGTGACATCCAGTACATGACCCCCACCTGAAAAACTTGGAATCTGATATGGAAGTGCGGATGCTGGAGTAGCGGTCGGAAGCTCGACTCTCCTTAGGCTACATAAATATTTAAGCAAAATAATGCTAAGTGTAATGCTCAGAATATTTAATTAATTGCTAAAATGCTCGGACTTATCTACGCGATTAAACTGGATTGGACTGGCTCGAAAAAATACTGAAATTTTCGGAACTGGACTCGGATCAGAAATCACGAATCAAAACTGACTCAAACCGCCGGTCGAACCGGCCGGTTCGCTGGCTGGTCGGACCGCCGGCTCGACTGGGCCGGGCGGTCGGGCTGGGTTCGGCTAGACCGGGCTCGGTCCCGTGCCGGGCCAGCTGGTGCCCGGGCACGGCGCTGGGCACGGCTGGTGCGACCGGGCTCGGTCCCTGGTGCCGCTGGACTTGGCTAGGCGCGGACTGGCGCTGGTGGGCACGGCCAGGGGCTGCTGGCACGGCCCGGGCACGACTGGTGCCCCTCGGGTGCGCGCTGGGCACGGCCGAGGCTTGGCTGAAGCCC